TATACTTGTACACCGTGAATCAACTGCGGGTCTTTAGATTGATCAGATACAACAAGACAGAAATAGAGAGAAAGACGTAAAAAACAAAACAAAAGCAAAAACAACAAAAACCCAGAAAAAACAACATTGCATTGAAATGTAATGTCGAAAAAATTGATCGACTATTCCGAGAAAAACAAAAAGACTGAGATGGCGTTCATATTACAAAAGTTACGAAATTGTCAAGACAATGATATTAAATACGACACAGTTACGGGCTTTATGAAGTCTACAAGACATTGTTTTCTTTCACACCGTGGAATGAACTCGCACTTTTATTGGAATGGGATAGATCCGAGAATCGAAACGCAGCGGGTAACCAAATAGCTATCAAGTTGATAGTAATGGGCTGTATTTGCTAACGTCTGTCTGGAGCGGAGAAAGATCCCGAAGGCCGACTCATAACTATGGCAACGGAATGTTGACCCACCTGGGAAACAAAGGAGGCGGGTTGGGGTGGGGTTTACAGAGGGAATTTTTTTTGTGTCTGTTTGTATGGGGTTTTTTCCCTCAAACATCTTACCCTGATTTTTTTACCTGCTTGATTAAACACCATCCATCTATACACTGCGTCATAACGAAAACGGTAACATTCGCTTAAGACTGGTTTCCACTGAACACAAACTAGAACTACCCCTCCCCCCCAAAAAAATTAAAACGTAAAAAAATAATTTGAAAAAACGACAACCACAAAGCAAACAAGCAAACAAACAGCCTCCCCACAAAATACTGGAAAGCAAAATCAACAACAATAACACCAACAGCAACAACAACAACAGCAACTATATTGAGCACGACAACAACTGAGACAAACTCAATTTGTATTTTTTTTTTTTGTGGCTTGGAGTAAGCTTGTCACATCACTAGATTTTTTAAAGAGAACGAGACAAAGAAAGGCACAACTACATAACGCCAGGGACGATCGATCGACGAAACGCCGAGATTGTGCGCCCCAGTGACCGAGTGTAGAGGGAGGTCGGGCTCACAATAAACAATGAGAAGCGACCTCAGTGACTCTGAGTTTAGGAACATGTACTTGATCACAGAGGTGTGTCCTTGGGCTAAAAAAGACAGTCGTGTACTGGCCACCAAAGCGAACTCTGACAAAAGACCGGCAGACGACTCAAAGATAGAAACAGGCGAGCTGTCACCTCAGTTGGTATCGTGTTAGCCGATGATGCGGGTTACCCAGATTCAACCCCCCCCTCCCCTTCCCCAAGTGCGGCTTTTTTTAACTTGAACTTATGGAACCAATCAAGATCTCAACATACTTGCTAAGGCCCTATCGGGGTTGGGCGTTAAATATTTATCGGAGGTTCTTCTTCTATTTAAAAAAAACAATTTTTTTCAAGATAGAAATAGTACCCCCCCCCC